CTGCCACATCACCAAATGCGAAGTTGAGGAAAATGGCGGACAATGGCGACGATATAACTGAAAAAAACTCGACCGGAGAACTGTCCTTAACATCCATTAACCATCTACGCCGTGCTGAAAGATGTTCAAAAGAACACTGAGGAATTGAAGGAGATGGAAGAACTGAAAGAAGGCTTGAATTTCCAAGTCAAGACAGTGGAAGAGCCGAAGAAGGAAAATAAAGAATTAAAAGTAAAAGTGACGGAGCTCAAGAACTTAGATGTATGCACAACAAATCTCAAAACAGCACAAAATAACGAACATGATCTATAGGTAAAACACGATGACTTAGAAATGTATACTCGAAAGGACAATTTAGAAATACACAAAGTACAAGAAGAAGATGATAAAGACCTKGATGAAGTTGTTATGAAGGTATATATGGTGTGTTGGTGGGGATGTAGAAGAAGATGACATCGACATTGAGCATCGTCTCAGATTTAAGATCAAAGGAATCACACCGATCATAGTAAGGTTTAAGTCTCATAACATTAAAACAGCGTTCAACTGACATCAAGACAGGGCACAGGGCGTATATAAGSCCGAAACACAATACATTTACACGTAAATATGAAAACAATATACAATACATCTATTATGATAGTATGAGAGTACTTTGCGTAAAGTTCATGAGACTTAATTAACCTACTGACTATATGACAGCCTATCAGTTTGATAAATGTGGATACCAAGATTTGCAATAGAGCACTTTCAAGTAGAATGGCAACAATGATACGAAACAATCGAGAAATTAAAGGGTTTAGTATTCTGGAAAATCTGGTTAAAATCATACTATTTGCTGTTGATACAATTTTTTTCTTGAAAGACCGGGACTCTTTTACGAAAGTACTTGAAACACTAAGRATTTTTTCCAGCTATTCTTCTCTTAGCATAAATATGCGCAGAGAAATCGGAAATAGGATGGATTAGTCCACAAACGCCCCTAGATAATAGTGCTTTGCTGGAAATTCCTCAGATGCAGCAGCAATTGAACTGGGTTAATGTCCATGASACTGGAATAAAAATTTTGAGAATTCTTGTATGCGAAAGTTTCTTTACAAATATAATTTTGAAAAGAACTTTGAAAAGTGTAAGACCAYCCTTGCTATCTGGAAGTCGATAACATTAACTCTAATAGGAAAAATTCAGGTGATTAACTCTCTAGGCTTATCGAAATTGTATCATATTTGTTCGAAAACATATTTATTAAATTAGTTAAAAGTGAAATAGTTAATTTCATATGGAACGGRCGCAAGCCAAAAATCAAGTATACTACGTTAATAGGAAATTATGAGGATGGTGGTTTAAAGCTACCGGAATTTGAGAGCATGGTTAAGGCTAGCTTATTTTRATGGGCGACAAAGTTATTTGATGATGAAAGCAAGTATTGGAAAACAATTCCATTAAAATTACTGTTAAATACTGGTCTTAAGGCAATCTTTATAGAACAATTTTTTCATTCCTTTAAATTGTAGTGTTTATAAGTAGACAACATTTTTTAAATGTCAATATACGTTTTGTCAGAGACGTATGGGATAAAAAAAKAGGTTTTCATTGGGAAGCAGTAATAAACAAAGGGTTAGAAAATACGGAATGGTGAACTTCGGTTAAAATAATCACTCTTCCAACACAGTGGAAACAAATAATGAAAAATAGGATGCTTGAAGAGMATTCGACTATTGCAGCATCAGAGTGCCCAATTAAAAGACGTATGAAAATAGAGGGAAAATATAAGATATCGAGCTTAATTAAAACTAAACAAGTTTATAATAAGGTGATAAAGGKTTTTTTTTTCTGGCCGTCAACCTCACAGAAGAGGTCAGGGTCGGATACAGGATTTTAATAAGGAGGGTGGATAATTATTTTAAAGTTCTTTTGAGTCTTCTTTTTGTAGTACAAAGGGGAAAAAATGCCGGATTAAATTATAACATACAGTGCACTGCATACTTGTGAATGCAGCTAAATTTTGACCCTTGACACGGTTTGTAATGCAATCATATCTTTCTATTTT